TTTAATTCGGATTCGGATCGAAGCGACGACGACGACAAAATGTATATTTGATTTGTTCTCCGCATGCCGCGAATGCATGAGCGACAGCAGTAAACGAGAAACGTTTGTTGCTTAAGTAATTTATGCTGTCTTAGACAACCAGCCGACGACGAGAACTCGTGGCGGGCGGAATTCCGATTACACAATGGAATTATTAAACATGTGTCGGCTCTAATTTGCTACACTGACTGATGCAGAATGTTTTGTGCAATGAAATATTTCAGGATTTACTCGCCGCGCAGAGTTGTTTTACTTCCCCGGAATAGTTTACATTGTTTTCCGCATTATTGGAAACCATCGAAGGCCATGGGGTCGCGGTGTGTTAAGCCCCTGGAAAGATACTTCACTGTCATGTCTGGAGGCGGCTATCGGCCACGATCGAAGCACCGGCCACGAATCGCAGTTTCGCCACAATTTTCCACGTTTCTCGTGGCTGGCAACTCGCCGGGAAAATTCAATCTCCTCGTGGGCCGCCCCACGATTTGCTCCGGTCGTTCGGAGATTTGCGAAATGAAATATCGCCTTATTGCCTCCCTCGTTTTACATTGGTTTTCCGCAACCACGAACGCATTCTGAAAATCACTACAGTGCGAAATCAGTGCGATAACTAGTGTGGCAGCTTGCGGTGGTGGCGCTGCCATCGATTTTAGCCAACTGGCTGACATAGCAACATGGCGGCTTTGTTTGTACTATGTGCAGTTCTGGTATGCCGTAGGCAACCGGTTATACTCATTATTCCAACTGCACACACGCCCGGCTTGTTTATAGAATTATCGCGAATTGCAAACTGCAAACATTCGCAAAACGTTGCGAAGCATTGCTGCCGGCGCTCGCCACCGAATATGTGTGACGCGCACAACCCCACCGGGCCGCCTCCAGTAATGTATATAGCGTTAATTAAAACTTTACTTTGCGCATTTGGAGCGCGCGTTCGGGCACGCGAAACGCCCAGCAATAAACTTATAGTGTAACAAAGAAAATTCGCGCAAATTTGCGAAACTCGCACGGGAATTTGCATTTATTATCAAACTAAGTATCTAACATAATAACGGAAGCGTCCTGGCGACGACAATACATAATCAGTGCGTGCGAATGTGGAAACTTGAACGTTGCAGGATAATGATTCACGTTTAGACATTTGGTAACATTTGTAACATGTGGAAGCATTTGCGAAGGCTTTGCGAACATTTGATAGCATGATAACGCGCCGATTATGCCAATGACTGTCGGGACGATAACATTCATCCTCATTTCTGAGCGTCTCACGTACGTGAAGGCGCGGAAAGCGCGGAAAAGTGGGAAAACGCGTAGGTGCGCTGGGGAATACGCGTGCAGAGTGCGTTCTTGCGAGGCGCTCTCCGGATTTTGAGCGGCGCCGGCAACGGAGGCGGCGGAGACGAGTTCACGGCCTCGGTCTCGACCTCGTCCTCGTCCTGCGCGGCCCACGGCGCTCGGCCCTCGCAACGACGGCCTGGGAATGAGGTGTGCCTGCCCTCCTGCCTGCCTGGCGCGTTGTAATCCCATTTGCTCATTCGATTTTCCCATGCGCTCGTAAATTTACCTACCATCATGAGCTATACAAGCACAACTACAATCTTCCCGCCAACATTGTTTCCTCCCCGGACACGTATGTTTTTAACCTGTTTCATAACCGAAAATGTGAATCACAAATCAAGACAGATGTTAATTTGGTTCCCAAACTTGACGTTACTTTAATTTTGAGTTGAAATTTGGATGGAAGTTATTCATTTTTCTTTTATATTAAAATGCTATTGTGACATTCGTCATTTGACTCATTCTTCACCCTCGTTTCCATCCTGTTTTTTCGTGCAGCGTGAAAACCTGATAAATGTATCAACGTGTGAAACTTCAAAGCAACGATCCCGTATCGGAAGCCCTAACACCATTGAGAGTTTCCCGCGCTTCGTTTTCGCCGAGCGGAAACAACACTTGACTTACGTGCGATCGTTAAGCAACTTTTCGGTCGAGACTTTTCGCGGACTTTTCCCCCCGTCGTGTGAAAAATTGCAATGTTATCTCAGTTTTCTGCAACTTTTTCACTCACATTTAAAGCTGACACAAAAGGCAAAAAAATATGAAATGAAAAAAGTTTTGCATGCGAAACTTAACCGCACTTTGAACAAAGTTTAAACAAAATGGCGACCTACAAGAAGTCATTATAATATAATTGCTAGCTTTTATTGTTTACCTAGATACGTTTGTTTACTGCAAGATACAGAACAGAGGAAAATATTAAATTTCTTTAATGTTGTAGAGTGAATTTTATTTTTTGTGTTGTTTTTGACATAAACAGCTTTAAAAAATAACGAGTGTGACGTAAAACTCGTTCTTTTTCTCTTCCTTTGGTAATTTCAGTGCATAGCTTCCACATTTTTACTTTCATTTTATTTCTGCCTTTGTGATAAAGCGGTCTGCTTGCGCCGATTATGAGCGCGTGTCTTTTTTCTTCTCGAAGCGCACTTTTTACCCGCGCCGCGTTTCATCTTCTTGTCATTTTTGTGGCGCTTGCTCGTTTTTTGTTTAATTTTTTCCGCGTTTGTTTTCGGATCTCGTCCGCTTTGAGAGAGCGGCCGCTAAAATAATGCCCGTCGGCACGCCGGGGACCAAATTCGGCATTCTGAATTCTGCATGGTATGTCGTGACGCCATCGATGAGAGCAGCGGGTTGTGCGAGGGATGAACGATGAAGAAAACGGGGATAATTTGGAATTCCGGACGTTCTGTCGCCGGCACCGACGCAGGACGCAATGCTCCTCGTCGTTTTGCCATTGATTGCCGTACGATGAGCATCGCCTTTCTTTTATTTAATTTGCGCATTTTGCGAATATGCTAAGCGTGCGAAGATTGCAATTTTATCAATTAAAACAACACTTTACAAAATGATACTGGCATCCATTTCCGTATTCAACAAAATTTAAATCTTTAATTTTATTGAGTTTGCCAACTTTCGCAGTATTCAGTTTTTTGTACAGAGAAATGTGAAAAACTCGGGAAGATTGCAGAATGTTCAAATATTTGTCCTATATTTCGTCCTTTGAAGATAAGAGCACGTACGGCTGTTACAATTAGAGAAAATAGTCGCAAAACCAAGAAAGACGACGTACAAGACGACGCGAGGTAATGAAAACAGCACGAACCCTAGTTTCATATTCTTTTTCTTAATTAAGCAAACGCGGAGCCCGCACACCGTCTGCCGTCGACATACAGATGTGTGTCAAACTAACCAGGACAAACCACAAACATTTGGCCAAACAATTTAAACACATTAAATTCGGAAAAAAAACACAGACTAGATAAACATTGATTTTCTTCCTATAAACACAATTTGGTGAGTGCTGTCATAACAAACATGCTGCATCATTAAAAACATTAAAAACCATCAAATAAAATCAAAACTTGCTGTCATTCAGAATAATATTATTCGTAAAAGTTTGCTTGCGTTAATGTTAATGTAATTGGGAATTGGGTTCAACACAAAAATGACATTAAAAATCATTAAAACGTGTTTATTCGTAAATATATTAATGGTTTGTAAACGAAATTAAATATTTACATCAATTCAAGACACATACTGTAAGATATAAAATACAGATAAAAAGGTACAAGAGTGACTTGCTTGGTCGTGGACTATTTACGATTTATTATATTAATAGAAATAGAAATATACAAAAATACACACTCGCGCGAGGCATAACAGAGAAAATCGCATCGTCAATCTTTGTGAATTAAGACATCGAGTAATCGAACATCCAAACATTCAACACACTTAGTTATACAGAGCGTGCCATCGGATGGTAGTAATCACGTTAAATACATCGAATTATCAAAAATGCAAACACAGTGATTAACGACATAACAACAACAAATTAAAAACATTCAACATCCAATTAATTGTCTTGTCTTGCGATGTACCTTTTTGCTAGGGATTTGCTTGCGATTTTGGTTGACTATATCCATTTGTGATATTTAATAAAATTTTCGATTATTATTTGCTGTTGGAAGATGAGTTTAATTGTTATTATGTTAGGCGTGTGCAGCGTGCTTGTTGTTTCACCGTCGATGCGCTGTGATTATCATGATTAATTCGAATTTGAGTTTTATTGAAATTGATTAGCACTTGTTGTTCCGTCGATTCGGCTGGATGAATCAATGCACATTATGCCCCCGAGGTTTTTGGCCGGTGTTTGGTGCGCACTGTTGCTTTTTAAACTTTCATCCGCTTGTTGGAATTTATTGGGTGTTATTCCGCGTTGGAGTGTTTGTTTTGGTTTTCGCGCGCGATGTTTTCGGCACCACTGTTGCATGCGCCCGCTTCGGTGTCGGAGAGGTGGGTTGGGTCGTTTAGGGGGTATTCGCAAGTGGTTTCAAAGAGTTAGCGCGTGAGAATGCAGATGCGGATGCAGTTCGCGAACGTCGTGATTAGTGGTGCAGCACGCTTGTGTTGATATGTGAAGTGTGAACGGCGGCGGGCGAGCTGAGCGAGTCCATTCATTCGCGACGATGGTGCTGGCGGTGGCTGCGGCGGCGTGCACACACACTCGCGACGCAAGGCGGCGCGGGCTGACTCACTCTCGCTCTCGATGCCTCGGTGCAGGCGGACGGCGCGCTCCCCGACGTTGATCGGCTTCTGGCCTGAATGCTGCGAGCCGCGGCCAGCCAGGCGGCGGATGTTGGCGGCGGGGGCGACGATCGCGTGCGCGCTGGAGGCGCTAACCGGGCCCGTTCGTCGCTCTGCTGTATGTTAGTCGGCATCTGCCGGTACTGTACCTGAATTAAATTCTATTCCAAGAATTAAACTTGTAGATTTCTTACAGAGTAAGTTGAATTGATGATAGAAATGTTTCTTTATCATTGTCGTAAATAACTTTGGCGATTAGATAATTAATTAGCTATAAAAATAGTATTTTTGTGTTTCGAATGACTAATTTTTGCTTGTTTTAGGCGTTTTGCACCTGAACCCGACATCGTAGGAGAACTATTCTCGCATCAGATTGTAAGTATTAACTTTGTTTATCATTTTCATAAATAACTTTGGTGATTAGATTATTAATTAGCTACAAAAATAGCATTTTTGTGTTTCGAAGGACTAATTTTTGCTTGTTTTAGGGGTTTAGCACCTGAACCGGACATCGTAGGAGAACCATTTCTACATCAGATTGTAAGTATTAAATTTGTTTATCATTTTCATAAATAACTTTGGTGATTAGATTATTAATTAGCTACAAAAATAGCATTTTTGTGTTTCGAAGGACTAATTTTTGCTTGTTTTAGGGGTTTAGCACCTGAACCGGACATCGTAGGAGAACCATTTCTGCATCAGATTGTAAGTATTAAATTTGTTTATCATTTTCATAAATAACTTTGGTGATTAGATTATTAATTAGCTACAAAAATAACATTTTTGTGTTTCGAAGGACTAATTTTTGCTTGTTTTAGGGTTTAGCACCTGAACCGGACATCGTAGGAGAACCATTTCTGCATCAGATTGTAAGTATTAAATTTGTTTATCATTTTCATAAATAACTTTGGTGATTAGGTTATTAATTAGCTACAAAAATAGCATTTTTGTGTTTCGAAGGACTAATTTTTGCTTGTTTTAGGGTTTAGCACCTGAACCGGACATCGTAGGAGAACCATTTCTGCATCAGATTGTAAGTATTAAATTTGTTTATCATTTTCATAAATAACTTTGGTGATTAGATTATTAATTAGCTACAAAAATAGCATTTTTGTGTTTTCGAAGGACTAATTTTTGCTTGTTTTAGGGTTTTGCACCTGAACCGGACATCGTAGGAGAACCATTTCTGCATCAGATTGTAAGTATTAAATTTGTTTATCATTTTCATAAATAACTTTGGTGATTAGATTATTAATTAGCTACAAAAATAGCATTTTTGTGTTTCGAAGGACTAATTTTTGCTTGTTTTAGGGTTTAGCACCTGAACCGGACATCGTAGGAGAACCATTTCTGCATCAGATTGTAAGTATTAAATTTGTTTATCATTTTCATAAATAACTTTGGTGATTAGATTATTAATTAGCTACAAAAATAGCATTTTTGTGTTTCGAAGGACTAATTTTTGCTTGTTTTAGGGTTTTAGCACCTGAACCGGACATCGTAGGAGAACCATTTCTGCATCAGATTGTAAGTATTAAATTTGTTTATCATTTTCATAAATAACTTTGGTGATTAGATTATTAATTAGCTACAAAAATAGCATTTTTGTGTTTCGAAGGACTAATTTTTGCTTGTTTTAGGGTTTAGCACCTGAACCGGACATCGTAGGAGAACCATTTCTGCATCAGATTGTAAGTATTAAATTTGTTTATCATTTTCATAAATAACTTTGGTGATTAGATTATTAATTAGCTACAAAAATAGCATTTTGTGTTTCGAAGGACTAATTTTTGCTTGTTTTAGGGTTTAGCACCTGAACCCGACATCGTAGGAGAACCATTTCTGCATCAGATTGTAAGTATTAAATTTGTTTATCATTTTCATAAATAACTTTGGTGATTAGATTATTAATTAGCTACAAAAATAGCATTTTTGTGTTTCGAAGGACTAATTTTTGCTTGTTTTAGGGTTTAGCACCTGAACCGGACATCGTAGGAGAACCATTTCTGCATCAGATTGTAAGTATTAAATTTGTTTATCATTTTCATAAATAACTTTGGTGATTAGATTATTAATTAGCTACAAAAATAGCATTTTTGTGTTTCGAAGGACTAATTTTTGCTTGTTTTAGGGTTTTAGCACCTGAACCGGACATCGTAGGAGAACCATTTCTGCATCAGATTGTAAGTATTAAATTTGTTTATCATTTTCATAAATAACTTTGGTGATTAGATTATTAATTAGCTACAAAAATAGCATTTTTGTGTTTCGAAGGACTAATTTTTGCTTGTTTTAGGGGTTTAGCACCTGAACCGGACATCGTAGGAGAACCATTTCTGCATCAGATTGTAAGTATTAAATTTGTTTATCATTTTCATAAATAACTTTGGTGATTAGATTATTAATTAGCTACAAAAATAGCATTTTTGTGTTTCGAAGGACTAATTTTTGCTTGTTTTAGGGTTTAGCACCTGAACCGGACATCGTAGGAGAACCATTTCTGCATCAGATTGTAAGTATTAAATTTGTTTATCATTTTCATAAATAACTTTGGTGATTAGATTATTAATTAGCTACAAAAATAGCATTTTTGTGTTTCGAAGGACTAATTTTTGCTTGTTTTAGGGGTTTAGCACCTGAACCGGACATCGTAGGAGAACCATTTCTGCATCAGATTGTAAGTATTAAATTTGTTTATCATTTTCATAAATAACTTTGGTGATTAGATTATTAATTAGGTACAAAAATAGCATTTTTGTGTTTCGAAGGACTAATTTTTGCTTGTTTTAGGGGTTTAGCACCTGAACCGGACATCGTAGGAGAACCATTTCTGCATCAGATTGTAAGTATTAAATTTGTTTATCATTTTCATAAATAACTTTGGTGATTAGATTATTAATTAGGTACAAAAATAGCATTTTTGTGTTTCGAAGGACTAATTTTTGCTTGTTTTAGGGTTTAGCACCTGAACCGGACATCGTAGGAGAACCATTTCTGCATCAGATTGTAAGTATTAAATTTGTTTATCATTTTCATAAATAACTTTGGTGATTAGATTATTAATTAGCTACAAAAATAGCATTTTGTGTTTCGAAGGACTAATTTTGCTTGTTTTAGGGGTTTAGCACCTGAACCGGACATCGTAGGAGAACCATTTCTGCATCAGATTGTAAGTATTAAATTTGTTTATCATTTTCATAAATAACTTTGGTGATTAGATTATTAATTAGCTACAAAAATAGCATTTTTGTGTTTCGAAGGACTAATTTTTGCTTGTTTTAGGGTTTTGCACCTGAACCGGACATCGTAGGAGAACCATTTCTGCATCAGATTGTAAGTATTAAATTTGTTTATCATTTTCATAAATAACTTTGGTGATTAGATTATTAATTAGCTACAAAAATAGCATTTTTGTGTTTCGAAGGACTAATTTTTGCTTGTTTTAGGGGTTTAGCACCTGAACCCGACATCGTAGGAGAACCATTTCTGCATGTAAGTATTAAATTTGTTTATCATTTTCATAAATAACTTTGGTGATTAGATTATTAATTAGCTACAAAAATAGCATTTTGTGTTTCGAAGGACTAATTTTTGCTTGTTTTAGGGGTTTAGCACCTGAACCGGACATCGTAGGAGAACCATTTCTGCATCAGATTGTAAGTATTAAATTTGTTTATCATTTTCATAAATAACTTTGGTGATTATATTATTAATTAGCTACAAAAATAGCATTTTTGTGTTTCGAAGGACTAATTTTGCTTGTTTTAGGGGTTTAGCACCTGAACCGGACATCGTAGGAGAACCATTTCTGCATCAGATTGTAAGTATTAAATTTGTTTATCATTTTCATAAATAACTTTGGTGATTAGATTATTAATTAGCTACAAAAATAGCATTTTTGTGTTTCGAAGGACTAATTTTTGCTTGTTTTAGGGGTTTAGCACCTGAACCGGACATCGTAGGAGAACCATTTCTACATCAGATTGTAAGTATTAAATTTGTTTATCATTTTCATAAATAACTTTGGTGATTAGATTATTAATTAGGTACAAAAATAGCATTTTTGTGTTTCGAAGCACTAATTTTTGCTTGTTTTATGGGTTTAGCACCTGAACCGGACATCGTGGGAGAACTATTTTCGCATCAGATTGTAAGTATTAACTTTGTTTATCATTTTCATAAATAACTTTGGTGATTAGATTATTAATTAGCTACAAAAATAGCATTTTTGTGTTTCGAAGGACTAATTTTTGCTTGTTTTAGGGGTTTTGCACCTGAACCCGACATAGTAGGAGAACCATTTCTACATCAGATTGTAAGTATTAAATTTGTTTATCATTTTCATAAATAACTTTGGTGATTAGATTATTAATTAGCTACAAAAATAGCATTTTTGTGTTTCGAAGGACTAATTTTTGCTTGTTTTAGGGGTTTAGCACCTGAACCGGACATCGTAGGAGAACCATTTCTACATCAGATTGTAAGTATTAAATTTGTTTATCATTTTCATAAATAACTTTGGTGATTAGATTATTAATTAGCTACAAAAATAGCATTTTTGTGTTTCGAAGGACTAATTTTTGCTTGTTTTAGGGGTTTTGCACCTGAACCCGACATAGTAGGTGAACCATTTCTGCATCAGATTGTAAGTATTAAATTTGTTTATCATTTTTATAAATAACTTTGGTGATTAGATTATTAATTAGCTACAAAAATTACATTTTTGTGTTTCGAATGACTAATTTTTGCTTGTTTTAGTTGTTTTGCACTTGAATCCGACATCACAGGGGAACTATTCTTGCATCAGATTGTAAGTATTTAATTTCTTTGTCATTTTCATGGACAACTTCTATATTTAGTTCACAAAAAAACGAAAACAATTGCATTTTCTGTGTTTTGAAACGCTGATTTTTGCTTATTTTATAATACCAGTCATTTGGGCTTGTTTTACTGTTATATATACCATGGATCGTTATTTAGGTATTTTCGAGATAATAAAACTGAGTTAGAAGATATTAAGACCGGATCCTGCTAGAGGTAGGGCGAGACAGAATTACTCTAAAATTTCATGTGTAATCAATGTGATCTATATGATCCGGGGAAATTTCAACACTTTGTTTATGTTTTCAGTTCGTAATGGCCTACGCAGCACGTTGAAATTGGATATAATTTGCGCATCTTCTGTTATTACTGTTGAATTACAGGTTTCTGTTTACTTCTAGTCTAACTTGACAATGAGCATTCGGGTTGGCTGTTGTTTCTTTCCGTTTAGTCGGTGTTGCGCAGTTGTGAGGTGAGCACGTGTTCTCATTCTTAGTCGGTCTTCATCGCAACTGTTAGCGTTTCTCAAGATTTTAATACGGTAGAAGCATTAGAATCGTTTGGTCATCGATTACTGGCTAAGTGATTTATGACGAATTGACTCTAGATTTAAGAGACTTTACCTCGTGCGGGTGTGAATGCAACCGGCCGTCGGATCTCATCCGTGAGGCTTCCAATTGGAATTATTGGTGAAAATGGCTCAATTGTTAATTCGCGGGAATAAATCACATGTTTTCCCGGTGTGTGGTAGTTGCCAGTGCAAAATTAATACATCAATTCTACTAACAATTCTACTTCGTGCGATTTAGAACTTCATTGATGGGACAACAAAGGAGTAACGTCAAGTAAAAAATTACCTTTGTTCAACTGTTTTTAAGTTTTACAAGTAATTATTGCTACGGGATTTGATAACCGTCGATGATTTCTTTTGTTTTTACACTGTATATATTTTTATTGATTGTCAATAAAACGCAATGTAATACTATAATCTCATGCATAGTTATTTGTGACATCCTTATTAACGTTTTCAGTATTCGCGTCCTAAACGTGCATGAAACGTGTACAACACAACTCTTGCTTGTATTGTGTTGTGTTTTAAAAATTGTATAAAGTAGAAACATAAATAGAAGAATCAAATAACAAAGATAAAAGCACTCGGTGGTCGAGTGGAGACGTGCACCTGCTGGCATGCTTGCAGACACGGATCGAATCTCAGGTATAGAAGGCATTTTTCTCAAATATAAAAATATTAGGTGTAATTTGGGTTGCATACATAAATTGCATCGAAATATAAGAGAAATTGAAATACAAGTGAAGGCAATATGAGAAGTAAGAAAGTAAGTGGAGGAGCAGAACAGAGAAATAGGAGAACAAGAAGAAGAGTAGCTGAGAAGAGTAGAGGAAGATAGAGGAAGAGAACAGAGTAGAGAGATAGAAGAGAAGAGAGAACAGGACAGGATCAGATTTTTAAATTTTTTGGCACGTGTCGTTATAAGACAGTCTACGGTCGATCGCCCACTGCTTCGATGCGTCCATTGCTCCCGGCCCATCCTACAGCTACGATGTCTCTGCGCTTCATCCCCGAAATTCTCAGGCATATCAACAATTTTTATGGTGGGGGATCACCCCCAGGGAGAGGGAACTCCTTATAAGGACAATCCTTATAAGGTCTTGTTCAACGTTTTAAGTCGCCTCAAGAGAGGCGACACTTAAAAATATTCTTACAAATTCTGACCTGTCGCTGAACTGAAAGATGGAGTACACAAATCATACAGGATACCTTAACAATTTTTATACAGGGGATCATCCCCTGAGAGAGGGAACTCTCTTAGAGACCTGTTCCTGAAATGATTGAGGGGGTACATACAAAGCATAAGGCAAAATCTTTCTTAACATTTCTTTATTCACAAATACAATTTAATACAATACAAGTTTAGATTTTACAAGTCAACAGAATACATGCGGCCATATTGAAACAGGACTTATGACCTGCTTAACCGCGCACATGCAAGCAAGTACTACTTTATAAAGTATTACCGGAATAATAAAATCAGAACATAGCCAATTTTCTAGGTGACTGAAAATGAAAACCAACATACAGGGTGTTCCAGAAGGAAAATCCCAAGTTTAAAACAAAGAACACTCAAAACTCACAAATATAGGCGATTTACTACGTACTGTTGGGAAAACTTATATACAGGGAGTGCAGAAAGAAAATTTTAAAAACTCCAAATATGGTCAATATTCATATCATAACGAGAGAAATGTTTAATATGAATTCAAAAATTTTACTCGAAAATCATGGGAAAGGTGAGGTAAAAAGGTGCTACAAGAATAAAACACTTACATTTTAATATATTGTTTAATATATTTGATGATAGCAACAACTGTATAAGGTAACCGACGGGTGAAGTATCATCGTAAATTGGTAGAACATCCGGCGGAAAACATCCAAATCGCCAGACGGCAAACGACGGCGCGTAGCAATACTACCGGTAAATACTATAAAAATGACTAGTTACTAGTAAATATTAAAATATATGGAGACTATGATAGCGAAAAACCATTCAACGTACAAGATTTTATTAAATCAACAAGAAACTTTTTAATTTAATGATGCTAAGGAGTGCAATTCGATTAAAAACGTTCGGCCAAAAATAGGAAAATAGGAACGAGCCGACTGTCGACGGCAAAGTGAGCGTGGTCGACCACATGAATATTGTCAATTTAATAATTCTCAGTTACTTTTTTATAATAATGCTTGTAATAATTAAATCATGCTTGTTATTTTCGGAAACAGGGCTATGAATTCAGATAAAAAATGATACCATGTGTTTGTAATTTGCAAAATTAATATCACTCAAATGGAATAATCAATTAATATAAACCGTCTTAACTTTCCGCAAAAAAATTAATTACACACCTACCAGGGCAATGATGAAGAGATTTTACATCCACGAATACTTGTGCAGGAATTAACAGACACTTATTTCTTACTAAATATCACTCTAACCGCCACAACTCATCAAACAAAACAGCCACACATGGTCGTTACAATTATTTTACTGATGACGAAAAGAATACACGACAATTAATTGAATAATTGAAGTCTGAAAACGCGTGGCTATTAGTGAGGCAGGTACAAGGCAGGTACGTCGCGATAATACACGTCAGTCGAACAAAAAAGTTGTTTATAAACAAACGTAGTGGCAAACACGTACTTGAAAAAACACAAACATTTTACGAAATATGGTTGAACAATTACTGTTATGCAAATTTTTGCGGGTTGTTGCCCGAATTCCTATAACAAACGAATACAACCCAATTCCGCATCTCTAGACGCCAAGGTGAAGTTACTACGGTGCCTAGATCGCGTGCAAACCCAAAAAAAACATAAACATTTCACGAAAAAGGGTTACTCTTATATGCTAATTTTAGCGGGTTGCAGGTCGAATTCCTGCAACAAATAAATACTACCCGACGGAAAATTTAATTCCGCATCTCTAGACGTCACGGTGGAGCTACTACGCCGCCTAGATCGCGCGCAAACCCGAAAAAACACAAACATTTCACGAAAAAGGGTTGAAAAATTACATTTATATGCAAATTTTCGCGGGTTGCAGGTCGAATTCCTGCAACAATTAAATACCACACGACGGAGAATTTAATTCCGCATCTCTAGACGCCACGCTGAAGTTACTACGCCGCCTAGATCGCGCGCAAACCCGAAAAAACACAAACATTTCACGAAAAAGGGTTGAAAAATTACCTTTATATGCAAATTTTCGCGGGTTGCAGGTCGAATTCCTGCAACAATTAAATACCACACGACGGAGAATTTAATTCCGCATCTCTAGACGTCACGGTGGAGCTACTACGCCGCCTAGATCGCGCGCAAACCCGAAAAAACACAAACATTTCACGAAAAAGGGTTGAAAAATTACATTTATATGCAAATTTTCGCGGGTTGCAGGTCGAATTCCTACAACAATTAAATACCTCCCGACGGAGAATTTAATTCCGCATATCCAGATGCAAAGCCAAAGATATTACGCCGCTTAGATCGCGTGCAAACTCGAGAATACACAAACATTTCACGAAAAAGGATTAAAAACTTACATTTATATGCAAATTTTTGCGGGTTGCAAGTCGAATTCCTGCAACAATTAAATACCACCCGACGGAGAATTTAATTCCGCATCTCTAGACGCCACGCTGAAGTTACTACGCCGCCTAGATCGCGTGCAAACCCGAAAAAACACAAACATTTCACGAAAAAGGGTTGAAAAATTACGCTTATATGCAAATTTTAGCGGGTTGCAGGTCGAATTCTTGCAACAATTAAATACCACCCGACGGAGAATTTAATTCCGCATCTCTAGACGCCACGGTGAAGTTACTACGCCGCCTAGATCGCATGCAAACCCAAAAAACACAAACATTTCACGAAAAAGGGTTGAAAATTTACGTTTATATGCAAATTTTAGCGGGTTGCAGGTCGAATTCCTGCAACAATTAAATACCTTCCGACGGAGAATTTAATTCCGCATCTCTAGACGCCACGCTGAAGTTACTACGCCGCCTAGATCGCGTGCAAACCCGAAAAAACACAAACATTTCACGAAAAAGGGTTGAAAAATTACGCTGATATGCAAATTTTAGCGGGTTGCAGGTCAAATTCCTGCAACTATTAGATACCTCCCGACGGAGAATTTAATTCCGCATCTCTAGACGCCACGCTGAAGTTACTACGCCGCCTAGATCGCGAGCAAACCCGAAAAAACACAAACATTTCACGAAAAGGGTTGAAAACTTACATTTATATGCTAATTTTGCGGGTTGCAGATCAAATTCCTGCAAGGAGTAAACATCACCCGCCGGGGAATATAATTCCGCATCTCTACACGCCACGCTGAAGTTACTACGCCGCCTAGATCGCGTGCAAACACAAATATTTCACGAAAAGGGCTGAAAAATTACGCTTATATGCAAATTTTAGCGGATTGCAAGTCGAATTCCCGCAACAATTAAATACCTCCCGATAGAGAATTTAATTCCGCATCTCTAGACGCCAAGATGAAGGTATTACGCCGCCTAGATCGCGAGCAAAGCCAAAAAACACAAACATTTCACGAAAATGGGTTGAAAACTTAATGTTATATGCAAATATTGCTCGTTTTACCCCATGCTCTGAAAACTAATAAACAGGGTGTTGAAAAAATTAGACTGCAAAAATAACGCCCTAAAACCACAGCTGAAGGAAAATTTTCACGGATACAAGAAAAGTTAAATAGCGCATGCCGTAGCCGCGCATGCAACGCCGCGACAGATTACGATAAGAAAGCAAGAGGTACGTCGATGGCACGCGACCTTGTGCGCTATTTGCAATAGGCACAATTGAAAGCAATAAGAAAGTAAATTGTGTTCAAAATAAACACAATTCTCGTGCCGAATGCCCACGTTTGCCGATAAATATAGAAATAAGCAATACAATTCTACTTTATGATTTTTAGTTCATGCTAGTGACATCTCTGTATGTTACAGGTAATAGTACAACAATTTAGATTATTATTAAAATACATTAACTATTAGCAAAAGTGCTAAAAGAGGGCATTTTTCGCCAGTTTCTTTCGATTGCGAATATCTCGTAAACTAAAAGAAATGGCGCCGTTCCTCGCCTCGAAAATTCTTAATGTACGGAAAATGCTAAATTAATTCCACTCTCAATCCCACAAACTAGCAAACACGGAAAGCATATTACTGACAGAATCACGGAAAACGGAACCTAACGTGAGCCAAAACGCACCCGACGGAACGCGACAATATTGCACTGCTTGCATTACATCAGGGATTAAATGTGACCATTTTTAGTGTTTTTACTTATTTGACTGGTCGTTTTTCCTTATCGGGTGATGAATCTACATTTGACTGTTTAATTAGTCGAATGTTAACAGGATATAGTAATATATTTATGTTACACACCTTCTTACATTTTCGTAGGTGAGATATTCCACAAGAGGCACAAATACTGTTTATTCCAATTAATAATTAAATGAATACACAAAACAAAACCACCACTAAGAATTCTTAGCCGACGGAAGATATCAGCCGGCCGACGGGAAACATTCGTAATTTGCAATTCCTGGTTCCACACGCAATATCTCAATAACTATACGCCGCACTTGTCTGGTAATTCAAAATCTTATCTTTGCTGACCGATTCTAATTCAACTTCCGACTTAAAATCACAAGAAATGCGTTAGGTCGCCACAAAAATCGCCGCACAAATAGACGCGTGCACATCAAGTAAAGCAGTTATTCACTTACCAGCCGTTCTCTGTTTATCCTCCTTACAAGTAAAAATCCGCCTGCTGTAAAAAATTAAATGGATCCAAGTTAAAACACGTTTCACAACACATGGGGTTCAACTAGCAATTTGTGTGACACATGAATCCGCGACAATTATACAACTAATAGTTCACATTTCTAAATATTACACGCATGTAAATCCACAAAGATGTTTGTTGCTATTAATGACGTCGATTTCTAATCGAGATTAACGCGATTTATCGAATTAAAATCTCACAAAACAAGGCGATTCGCGAGAAGCAACGTACGAGGTAACCGACAACGGCGAATGATAAGTTGCGACTGTCCAAATACAACACACTGCGGTGCGTTCCTCAAGCAGGTAGATCCGCGAATGTAAACAAACACAAAACTGATAACAAACACAATCTGATTTACAAAATCGCGTAATCCGTCACACGTACACTCGACTTTCCTTTCATGGCAATGCGCACTTACTAATGCTTACTAATTTAATGCAAATAAATTCATGCTAGCGACATCTAGAGTCACATTATTGAATTACATTGGTATCTCTCCGCGTTGCCTGATCACCAAGGACACGAGTGCCGCAATCTAACTAGGTACCTATATTCATTCTTAATACAAACATTAAAAACATAATATTGCAAGCTATTGCAGAAGATCGGTGACCGCTAGTTTTGTCTCACGACCGGAATGATTCGAAAGATAAAATTACGTGTAAGCAACGTATGCATGTGAAATTAAATCCAATGGAAACAGTAAGTAAGATAATTCAAGTGTGAGGCGTTTACAATCACGGTATTATGTATGCGTGTGTATGTGCCGCACCATGAGCAAATGATCAATTGTCTATTAGGGAATTTCGATGTTACTACTAATCAATAAATTCTTAGTAAATAATTGGTAAAGAATATAAAACCCATAAAATTAATATATTCATGTTTTCCTAAAATCTATGTAATTAATAAACTAGTCAATCACATACATTTAAACTTTAAAAAGTATTTTTACAAAATTGTTACATTAACAAACCTAATCATAGTGTTATCTAACATCATTAAATCCTTGTAGCGTACTCTCCAAACGCTAATAACAGCGTAAAATCCATGAGTCACGCATAAATCCCAACACTTTCTACAACTTGCGACAGTCGTGCGCCAGCAATCGCATCGTGTGGTTGCATGACTTCGTTAATTCACAGTTCAATAATATATATGAAGTCATTTAGTATATCAAGTTTTATTTAAATCACAACAATTATGCAGACACGTGAGTATCCAAAAACTTATGTGGAGTTTGAAGGTAAATCAAAAAATGGTGCCGCACCACGAAAATACTGGATTCAAGTCGTACCGGAAGAATTTTTTGATGAGATTGTCGACCATCTCAATAGTGGCTTCGCAATGGACGAACCAATATCCAAATATAAAAGTAAATAAATATCATACAAAAAAATTACTCAATATTACTTAATATATTGAAGAATTTAGTACTAATTATTTTTTACAGAAGGATACACTGACGAAGCAACCAAGACCGAATTGCGCGTTTATCAATATGAAATGTTACGAGAAAAAATCTGTCTGGCTTGTTTAACAAAAGACAATCAAGGTGAAGTGAAACTTGCTGGTTTCAACATGTTAATAATTACGAAAAAAGACGAAGACGACGATGATGATTCTGAATCCAAGGGATGGTTTCTTCCATTTATAATCAGTATTTATGATTACGTTGACGAACAACGTAATCTTTTTGAAGAGTTTGGCGTTGATAAGTGCTTAAAAGGTACCGGACTATATGTTTTACCAGAGTACAGAGGCGAGGGCATATGTGAACAAATATTAAGAGCAAGGTAAAACCAAATTATTTAATAATAAAATATTATTAGTCAATCAACTAACGAAAACATGTTTCAGAGTACCTTTGTGCAAAGACCTCGGTATTAAACTTATCAGTACAATATTTACATCAACATTATCACAGAAAGCAGCTTACAAGGCTGGCTACAAGGACTTTTATTGTATAGATTACGTGGATTTATTTAAAGAAAAACCAGAATTTTATATATCTGGTATTCAGGACCATTCAAAAAGTATCAAGATTCTGTATCAACTAGTAGAATAAAATAATATCCTGGACTAAAGGTTTCTGTATTACTATTGATCAGATAAAAGCACAGCTTTCAAGTAGGGTATCGCCCTCTGTGATACAAAAGTACACACGAAAGCTTTGTACAAAGTATTCTAGATTTAAATTGCAGTAACCCAAATAAGTTGCGATGCCTCATCACCAGAACGCAGCTTGTAGTACTTTTGATGAATTATTTAATAAATAAATATTTACACACAATGAAATCTTCTTTCCCTTACAAAACTAAATCGGTTTAAAAAAGCTTGCTAAAAAGTTATAATCACAACAAAAAATGTAATACTTTCTTGATGCTAGTCCAAAACGTTTGAAGCGGTAATCATAACTCAACAAACTCGGCAAATTTGGCGATAAAACGATATTGGATGTACTCGAATGTACTTTACAGCTTGCTCTCGATGGCGCGCTTCGCCCTCCCTTGAGCAATATGACAGTCCATAAAATAACTGTATGTCCATCTATTCGGGGCGCTCCGGTAATAGAATTGCGATCGCCACCTTCGATAACAAATTGCCATGGGGATTTCTTTTTCGTTTCGCCGCCTGGAAACTTTGTTAGTGTCGCGCGATCATCGTCGATATCGTCCAATTTCATTACTCGACATAAAACGCCGGACACGTCATATACCTACTCAAGCCAGTGCCAAAAAGCGATTTCAAGAATAAGAAACGAAAAAAGTGTTACAGCGTCTCAGCTTATTTCAGGAAGACGTATGAGATGAAAGAATATTTAATAATCTCGATGGATAAGTGGATTGGGAAAGGCTTTCAGTTTGGTGTCGTGTACGGAAAACTATTTTTAAATCTTGAATTAAATTCTTAGCAAATATTAGATTTGACATTTTATGGACGAAATTTTCGCAGAGGGCGAAATAATAAGCGAGGAAGAATTTTACGACGATAAATTTTCCCGCCTCGGAGAGGAGCGGCCATCAGTGTGCGCGAGAAGCTTTCGCGCGGTGGTGAACTTGCGGTGGAAATCAACTTCGACTTGCCGGAGCGTAATTTATTGCTGACCGCGCGACGGGAGACGCCGCCATAATCGCGAATGGCAAAAAAGATAACACGCAATCCGATTTTCTTCGCCCCGAAACGCCTGCCAGCCTGCCAGCCACCGCCGGAGCGTTTCATTTTCAGTATGCTACCAAAAGCATAGCACCAACCAAGAAAATGTATTCCAGCCAGCTTTGTTCCTTCATGGCATGGCTCCAGAAAAAAATGCTATGAAACCAACAAGTATTTCGAAATTTTATATTTACACCGAAAGAAAATCAATGATTTTATAAAAAAAATTAAAATTAAAATGCAACATTTTCTGTTGAAGTATAAATTGCGTTGACTTTGATTTAAACCTCCCAATGACACTTTTTATCAGCTTATTGGCAGACCCTGAATGTCTCTCATTGTGGCATTCTGGCAGCGGTAATAATTCAGTCTCTAGAAGACAGTGGCAGCCATATTCTCACGCCGGGAGCTTGGTTATCTATAGATATGCTCAACGACTTCATTTATTGGAAGCGATTTAAAAAAGTAATATTTGAACGAACGCCGGGCGCTCCATTCGCACCAACCCAAAAAGACACCGAAATGATGATAACTTAGAGAGACGAGAGGGTCGCGAAGCGAATTAAACGAGTCTTTCGGCTCCAATCAGAAAATGTGATCAGATTTATATTCAGACTCGGCGTCGAGCTCAAGCTTTCCCGCCAGCTGACATTTTCCATACCCAAAAAACAGCTTACTGCGAAACCGAAAAGACCCCAGTCCCCAGCAGGAAAAAAAAACGTACTTGGTGAAGAGTTTTAATCGCACGTGATTGTCGTGCACAACTATCGAGATCCTTATTGTCAACTTGCAGTTTGTACGAATTTTCCACCGAAAAAGGACGAGCAAGTTGCCACAAGTTTGCCCACTCATCTGTTGTCCGTGGCATAATAAATGAACACATTTGGGAAGTTTTGGGGACCCGCACCCGGACCCAACGTGCGACGCGACCGGAATAACTGATGTAATCAGGTGTGAATGAACCATGACGATCCTTTAAGTACCTGTTAATCTAACAAACTAACCGAAAATTGATTTCCAACTTGCGCACCGCAAATAAAACAATGAATCTTATTAAAAATGTGTTTCTTTTCTTCGTGACACCCGTGCAATATTTCTCGTTTTTTTATTATTATTTCTCCTGCGGATTAACTCTAAGCTACTCTAAGGACAAAGCCCTATTCAGCGGTTAAAAAATATTCGTTGGTTCGTTTAATAGCGGCGCGACTTAATGCCTAAGTAGGTATCATAAGCGATAACATTAAAAGAAAATGAAATATTTAATCGAGCGGCGCTCTTTCGCCCCCGGCGCAGCCATTATTACAACTGAATTTCGACTGCATTTCGTCGCGGGGCTAAACGGCGTAAATTATTCACTCTGGTGTTTCGCGGGCGGAGGCGGCCGAGATAAAGAAACAATTTTATCAGCGGAACGAAACAGTTGAACTGTGCTAACCGAACGCAATCTTGTTTCGAGACCATTAACTTAATTACCAAAAACCCTTTACCATTGCACCAGCAGAACTACACACCAAGCCGGAGAAGGATGCCAGAGTGTGCGAGAACAATGGGTGTGATAGCACCGCGAGCGGAGCGCCAGCGAGAGTTCGGCGTGCGGTGGCGCAACGATTTGATTTATGTTCCAACATTCAGAATGAGCGAATATTAATTCCATTCCGTTCGCAATCAACCAGCCAGAGTGCCATAACTCTTTTATTTTATATCTCTCCGAGTTGATTAAAAATATCATTTTCGGTGGTAAAAATTCCACGCAATCCGATCACATGGTCTAAATATTATTCAGGACGTGATTACGTGCCGATATAATCCGCTTGTCGTAATATAATTGCACCTGTCCGCGCTCGCATCTGTATACGATTACAATCTCCGACTAATATGTTGATACTTGGAATATTGAGAAGGATTCTCTTCATAAATCTACTGCATCTTCACGAAACCGTTAAAATTTAATAATTTACAACTTAAAACTTCTCTTAAAAACAACTTAATCAAATAAAACTAAAATTTTATAACAAAAATGTTTTAATATTACAAAAATTCTTAATATTTTAAGGTAAAAATTGTATTAAAACTTTGTTAACAACCTCTATAACCCCTCGAAATCTGTATGTTTGATGGGGTCCGCTGGGGTTGCGCCCGCTCTCGACCTGAAGCATTCCCGATCATATTCTAGGACACCAACAGCCGCTCTAGTCCGATTTGCGCTCTTTGAATAATCCGCCGGCGGGGCGCGCGCATTGTGGCTGCAAAGCGGATCAGGACGACACCGCGCCGAGGTTGATTAATGGTTACCCAATATGACGTCATGCTAATTTAAATTTATCTCTCGCCTTTCGCCTCCGCGTGCTCATCCGTTTCTTCAATTCGTCGCTAATAGCGCACGATTATCGCCGTGAAATGTTTCCGGCACAGTTTTCGACTGTTGTTTTATCGGCAGCGCCGCGCGCGGCTGCACAAGCGTGCAACAAAAACAGTTATTTATCGTCGTCATCAGTTCCCGCTTCGAATTCGCATTCACATGATTTACTACATCAACACCATTTTATATCCAAAACATTTGTGGCTCAATTTTGTGTTTTGTATTGATTTTATTGTGGAGACTTTGATGTGCGTTGGTCCAGTTTGGTTTACATCATGTAAATTTGTAAATCCTGCCCGATGTTTGTGATGTTTGTGGATACTTGCCACTGCAAGCGTTCGTTGAATGCCTCCTGAATGAAAGAAGTTGGTCCACGTTTTGTGGTTTTTTTACGAGCGTCCGTTAGGTCGATGGTTCGATTGGCGGCGCGCTTTTTCGGGCAGCCTTATGAATATAACATGCCGATTTTGGCACCCTCAAAGTGTTACGTATCAATAATAATTTTCACTCGTCTCATCCCCTTGTGGTTGTGGCGCTCTAAGAACGTCTTCTAAGCTGAGCATGTAGAATGGAAATTTGCGCCCGAACGGAAAGAATCATTTGGAAATATTCTCCATTCTCACAATTCGCAAAGCCTTTGAATTTTCCACGCAAAAAAAAAATAAAAACCTAAAAGGACTGATAAAAATATGATTCCGTTCCTTTGAGGTTATGTTATGTAAATGTCTATCAAGTGTTTTACACACTGTATGTTCTATCCGGCGTTCCGTATGATATTATTAGCCATGTTCCACTTGCGCATAGCATCGGAATATGATTAGGGATGATCGTCGACGATGATAATAAAAAAGTGATATGTTGCGACTTTGCGCGCGCGAATAAAAGAATAAGAAAATGAGCAATGAGCAGCCGGCGCTTATACCACCGAACCACTCGCCCCTCGCTCGCTCTATTGCCCTGCTCTATGACTGTGTTATGGTAGTTGTGTGGTGGTGGTTGCGGTCGGGACAAGTGGACGCATCGCAGTATAAATAATCTGTGACAAATGTTGAATTCCCCAGCGACAGATTTGCGCGGATATTTTTTAAGCGCAATAATCGGGGTTCTTGCCCCGTTCCTTCGCCTTGTCCGACCGGCTCAGCGCACGAGAGCGGAAAATTAAGTTTGCCACACACAACGGACGCGCCCGCAGAAAAATGAGCCAACATCCAGCGGACAAGTGTTTTGTCACACGACGAGCACCGACGGATTAGCATGATAGCATATTAAATTTTAAGTCGATCAAACAAAACACACAATCACACACTACACATCCAGCCGCGCTGCCGCAGAAATTTAATTAAAAGTTTTATTTAAAAATTTTTATCAACAAAAAATGTTGAACGTCTCGAAGAGCGAGCAGCGGAAGACACAAACGACGGGAAACCGGAATTAAGTAAAACTCAAGACTAGTCTGCGGAATATTTTTATAGCGCTCTTTTACATTTTAATTTTTCCGGTGTGTCTGCTGCTCTCCACAAAACTCAAACATCTTTTCATATTTCACATTTCCTCAATATCTCCTGAATGAAGTATTATCGTATATGAGGTTTATTAAAACTTTTTTAAGATTGGGATGAGCATTAAAATTTTATCTATTTTCGATTTAACTTCTGACAATAAACGGTAAACATAAATATACGACCGGAAAGCGCTGAGAACTTGTGGAAGTTTTATAAATTCCTGGCCTCTCGTAGCTCGGATGTGAGGTACGATAAATTATCCTTCGAAACGGGAATTTTTGGATAATTACATTCGCCACAAGCCGAACGGAAGGTGAAATGTAAATTTCTGGGTACGGCCAGAGAGTCGCGAACAACGTGCGGCGCTTTGGAACGAACAGAAGTTTTGTAAAATATGAAAAACCATGCTGCACGAAATTCAGGATGCAAATATACAGTATGTTTTAAAAATGAAACCAAAATATTAAAATTTTTGAAGAATTATTCAAAATTTCTCATCGGTTGACTATAAAATGGTAATTAAAAGCAAAATTTATTAAAATAATAATTTAAAAAATAATTAATTTTTTCTCGGTTGTATTTTGTAGTATCCTGGCAAATGTCTGCATTTCTCCATGTAACTCTAGTCATATCTCAGCTGTCGGAAACCGGTCGCAAGAAAATTCTTCTCGCAACCGCCGAAAGTATGCTCTGGAAAAGAAAACTATGAATATCTCCAACGTCCTCCGTCGTTGGAGGCAACGTTATTCCTAGTGTTATGCGTTATGCCTTATATTCCTTACTGTAACGAGCGTTATGGCGCGGCGAAAAGATGGCGGCGGCGACGACGGTGGCGACGGGAGCGGCGATTTGCATACGCCGCCGCTTTATGCTAATGCCGTACCCCGCGCGCACGTGATTTATCGTTATTTTTATTCGATTCTCGAAATTATTATATGGACTGTATCCGTATGGATGGAAATCATATTTTATGCGCGCAGAGGGCGCCCCCGACGACACAAGCTCGCGCGCGCGAATCGATTCGCACTATCAAACAATTTCTGCACGCCGCCCCCGCCATTCCTGCACACATTCGTTTCGCGACTTTTATCGCCGAGACTTTTATGTGTTTATATCTTTACGCCCGAATGACGAGTTTTTATTGTTACGTTTGTATACTTGAAAAACAAGGTGTTTTTTCAGCGCATCAAGAAAAACATTTTATTTTTCAAAAATTTTTACCCAGTAAAAAGCTTCTATAAATCAATTCCTAAAATGTTTAACACTAATCAAAGTGCAACATTTTAAGAATCAATCACGGCTAAAAGTCAGTGACTAAAAGTCGATTAATCTCTTTCCGATCTCTTCCCAATTCCGGATTACTTATTGCTGTGTCGGATTGTTTCCGAATGTGGTATCATTCAAGTGTTTCTGATTGAACAACTTCACGCTTTCCAGGCCGCGGTGGAAGCAGAATTGATGGAATTCCTTGAGAAAATCAAAAAGTAACTACAACCATAGACGCGTTTCCACATTTCCGCTTTGAAATAAACTAACTGTCTACTCGCTGCTGGTCTCTGGAGGACGCTTGGCAATTATAAGCACATGTGACCTGAACGACCTGAAGGTGATCAATCAATCCCCACCTATACTGTCACAATGCAGCAAATTCCAGCAAAAAAAAAGCAAAGACTCCGAAATGATTCATGTCGAGGTTATGTTGACATCGTGTCCTTGCATTACATTCACTGATTTTTTATTTGAAGTTTAACTACTGGTGGTAAATAAGTTCAAGGGATTGTATTGAGGGATAAATTTTCAATATTGCCTAATGACTTTTCGGCGTCCTTGGCTGAGGGTACCAGTGCCATCTGTTCCATCCGGCCGAGTCCATCATCCAGCGTCCTGCTGCTTTCGTTCCTGCGGCAACATATGGCGCTTTGAAGAAGAATGCGGACCGTATCCATTTACGATTCGCCCTCGAGCCACCCAGAGGAAGAATCCTCTGGGCAAATAATCAAGTGACGCGAATGGGTAACTACGTGCCGGGCGTATTAATCCAGCAGGAATTCATCAGACACTCAAATATGATATTAACTAAATTGCAAGAGAAAAATATTCATAGGGTGTTTGAAAAAATCATCTACATATAAACACCACTTCCCTATTATAAACTTCCAACAACATAAATAAGTAATTATTTTTTTGGATTGTTCTAATTTATCTAAACACCCTGTATAAATTATTAGCACATTTGATTCTACTTGCAAAATGGGTTTCAAACTAATGAAGAATCGTCGAGGGGGTTGCGTCGCGCTGGGTTGTTGGGTTGCGCACCGAGTGTTTAGGGGGTTTAGGGAGGTTACCATTCGTCGGAATTACCTTCGGCAGGGGTGCAAGTGAACATATGTGCAGGTTATACGATTCGCATTCAAAACTATTCATTGGGATTAGAGCAGTCCGAGTCGACGCGGCATCGACGCGTTTAGTGTACTTGTCGGGCGACGCACACAAAAAACAACCGCTGACATATTGCGATAGCTTTGACACATGGTACCTTTGAAGCCTTTGAGGATTAAATTGACCGAGAGGAGTATTGCTACAGTTAACATCAACCAGAAAAATAACAAGTTTTGGAAAGAATTTCAGAAAATATTTTTTGATGTTGGAATGAATTGAAACAAATACTGCAGAGCAAATTAAAAAAAAATCTTTGATGGTACCCACCATGATATAAAACAGAATTATAACCTCAAAATTAACATCTAAAGTTGATCATTCCTTTAAAATATGAATTACAATTTTTTAAATATTTTTGAACGTACTAGTTTCACTAATCGATAATTACCATCCTAAAATATGTTCCTATGAAATGGTAGGTCTTGCGCGCATTGTGCGCAACATATGGACGAGTGGTATTATGCACAAGCCCAAGAGACCTGTCGAAACCTATTTATACCACTATACAATTCACATCCCCCGTATATACCTATTACTCTGATAGTGTGAGCGCGCAAGTATGTGTGTGTAGGGTACTAGGGGCGTAAGGGTGCAAGCGCACAAGAACTGGGTACCCTCCTCAACGGTGTTCACCTTGCGTACGATTCAATTGTCCTTCGCCGGCAAGCAGACGGCGCAACACGAGACAAGAAACATCAGAACACCAGCAAAAACCCAACAAGAACAGGAACAAAACAAAGGCAAGCACAACCCACCAGGGTCAATGGTGGTAATAAACTAAATGAACAAGGTTCTAAGTCTAAACATTATCAAAAACTATGAAAATAAAAAATATTAATGTTTTAGAAGTTATACTAAATTAAATATTAATATTTGCAGAAGGTATAATCCGAAATTAACAAATCGTTAATAGGATATTCAAAAAGTGCTAGTGGTGCACGAAATAGAAACGACAAACACTCAACAATACGTCCAAATCAGCCCTATGGACTGACTAGGATCATTGAATGCACATGCGGGGCGCATGCTGAGCACCACAATTAAACAGCTTTCCACCATATGTGCAAGCAGACCACAAAGCTTCAAAGCACCGAAAGCACTAAAGCAGGTGCCCCCTATTTTATCCAGAGCACCCCTAAAATACAAAACTATTCGAATCTCTTTAGGAAAATCAAATTATCAAAACTTTTCAATCAAAAAATCTTATTTTATTTTTGATTATTGATAATTTTTAAGTTTTCTATGATTAATGAACGCAGGATGACTTGATTCATTGAGTGGTGTAAGTGGTGAAAAGAGCACTTAAAAAATTTGCATGCACGATTGATTTTTATCTATACAAAATACCAAATAAGAAATCCGAGAGAGTAAAAATGGAATGCACCCCAAGTGCAACGATTAAAACTAAATTAAGACACATTCAGTTTAGACTTGACTTCTTCCTTCATTTTTCTCACTGCTAGTGATATGAATGATTAATGATGAATGCCCCAACATAAGTTCGAAAACACCCTGATTCTTTAAAAACGCGATGATTATCGAAAATTCCGCACCCATTCATCAATCTCCGCAAGGATGATTTTCTTTTCCACATTTTTCCATAATTAATACCGAGCTAAATAACACTGGTGCTGTTATGTGCTCGTCGCGCTCGGAGCATCTAGCATATCGAAAGAAAGGGTTGAACGCGTCGGTGGCGGCGGCGGCGGCGGAGGGACGCTTCGTATGTATTCGTAAATATGGTTTTCCCGGGGAAAAGCGCAGGTACATCGGCAACATTGAAAACCGTATTGGCCGACCGTATTTCCCGTTCGGGCACGCCTCCGAACCGCGCGCGGATTGGCCGCGCAGGGGCGCGCACCCCACGAGCGTAAGTTTTCCCAGCCCGCTACGCGAACGGGGGTGGCCGAACGCGTCGAACGCGCCCGCAAATCGCGACAATATTTAGTCCGTCGCTTCTATGTTTTCATGCATTATGCTTCCGACCATCGCCGAGTGAACACTGTGACACTAGACACGCTCTCCGCAACACGATCACGAAACGAGCTTAAAATTCAAGTGCGGTGAAAAGTTTGACAAGTGCATCATGACAATGGACATAAACAACCGGAAAGCTGAGATTAAATCGGATGTCTTCGAATCACGCACGGAACTTCAACTTCCAGTCAAGACGAAAAGATCATTTGATGTGGCGTTTTTGATGCTGCCAGATGAAAAAATTAAACAACGTGAGTTAAAGGAATTGAAGGTTCCGAAACTATCTCCACAATTGGTGAATACAACTTATGAACATCTTAAAGACCTCAATCACAACGCTAATCACTCACCACAACCATCAAATCTACAATCATCTGGATCCCCAAGCCCTAATCACGTAGCTTCTGATGATGAAGATGAAGAAATTGAAGTGGACGCACCAAAAATCGACTTCCTAAAACTTCAAACACAGAAGTTTTACACAACACAGAAACAACAGATCTTTGGAGATCCACAGATAGGTAAACCTAAGCTGCAGGAAGACCGTCAGAAGAGCGCATTCACCAAGGTAACCATCAAAGAAGGCAGACTTTCCCCTAATCTTTCAATGAGTCCTGATCCTAGTTATCAAAATTCTTTATCTCCTTCCCCACCAATACCATCAAGAGGATACTTTCAAAGTGGTCTAATGTCCCCGAATGTAATGTTTAAGAACCATGGAGGATATCAGGGGCAATTCGTCCAAATACCTGAATCCTTCCAACAGGAAACAAGTCCGTTTATTTTAAAAGCACCCAATCCAGAATTACTCCAACCTAACTTCACCAAACTACGAACAGGTCTGCAATACCCTGCTGGTTTACCCGGGTATAATTACCAGTTCCAACCACAGGAGATGTTAAAAATGGCCCAGGTTCAAGCCCAAGCTCAAGCCCAGGCCCAAGCACAAGCGCAGGCACAAGCACAAGCCCAAATACAAGCCCAACATCATCCGCAACATAATCAACAACACGCACATCATCAGAACCATCAAAACCATGCGAATCATCCCGGAAACCCAGCCGCCGCATTGCTCACCTCACTACTTCCCCCATCACTGGCCGCACTTTCACTACCCGCACAGAATGTCTGCGCCAAGTGCAACATCTCCTTCAGGATGACCTCCGACCTAGTCTATCACATGCGTTCGCATCACAAGAACGAACAGACAGACTACTGCAAGCGGAAGAGGGAAGACAAACTGAAATGTCCGGTTTGTGCGGAGAGCTTTCGAGAAAGACATCATCTCACGCGACATATGACAGCTCATCAGGACAAGGCCAATGATTCGGAGATGCCTGGCAATAAGACTAAAAAATTCACAGCTTTTAACAAATAAGATTGAATGGATTGTATTGACTTTTAAAATTTACCGAAAATTTATCGCCCATTTGAATGTTGAAGCATTTTTTAATGTACTAAGTGTTGATAATGATAATATGCAAATGCTACGGCAACAAATTGTACATTGGTTTGTAAATAATTTTAGAATATTCTATTATGTGCAATATTACTTTTATGCGTCTCGAGATGAAGCAATAATTAAATAAATCGTCACTCTAACCAAGCAAAAAATACATTTTTTACTGCTTTCAGGTTTTTAGATTAATGAGCGGAAATTGAAATAAGGAACTGAATTAACTACTAGTAGACAAGTCTCTTAAAAAAATCTACAGGGTGTTTAAAATAGAAAAAAAAAATTCATAAATTTTTTTTCAAAAAATTTAAAATTTAGTATTATCAGGTTTTAATTTGAATAATATTTATTTTTGTTGAATTAAAATTATTGCAACACCCTGTATGTGTCGTCGCGAGTTTGATTCAATTATTTAACCCTCTCCGACGAGACAATAGGTGCTGAAACGCGGTGAAACGAGGCGGTGTTGGTAGCAGCGGCGGCGGCGGCAGCGAAGGCTCGGAGGCGGCCACCATTTTAACGTGATTTGAAATTAATGGGCCGCGAACGCCGCGATAAGGACGCGCCGGATAGACAATGACAACATGCGGAAATTCGCGAATACAAGACCGAAAAAAATCGCGAAAAATTACAAATTTACGAACGAAACAAAAGCGAACGCAGAGAAAAAATAAAAGCTTCCCATGTCGGAAATGAAATCAAGTGTTATTTAGGGTCTGGGTCTGATGTGCTCTGATTCCATTTCAAATTCGATTAGTGATTACTCGATTAGCAACCGAAGTTAGACATCAGCGATCTCACACATTAATGAAAGAATTCGGCACGCTGCGTTGAACGACAACGTTGGTATCAAATATGTTGTTGGTGCGGCGAGATGACGGAAGCCCGGAACGCACATCATCCGCGGCGTGTGCGGACATATTCGACTATTCTCCCATGTAATCCGGTGTCACGGTGCCGGCACGCGGCCGCTCACGAGCCGTTGGAAATCGAATTCGTCGCGCCTACGAAGAATCACAATAGTGGACACATTGGATATACCCAAGGTTGTGAATATATCGTAGGGTGGTTTGGCAAACTAGGCGAATCGACGGAATTCGTTTCGGTTGCATATATCTCCTATACTATTAAACTTTTGTTGTTTCGTTGTTTGTTCCCAGCGACTTTAGCAAACGCTCACGTGTTCACGGTTTTTAAGAACACGACTTCCTCCTTGTTATCACATTAATTGCGCCTCATTTGATTCACATTCGAATGCGCACTCTTATGTCTTTATAATGTTGTATGTTGTATGTTGGATATAGAGTCATCACTATTTGGAATAGGGTTGAAGAAGAATGGAAATCAATAATTGAATGAAATAAATTGTACAGTGGAATTGTAGTGAAAAGTGGAACAAATGTCATTGTTATTCATTTGTGCAAATATCCTAATTCTTAAGTTTATTTGAAATTCGGACGTGGATGACCAGCGGAAGTGGAGATTTGAAATTTATGTACGCGCCATTTATCACATTTATCGCGCGTAAAATGTGACCGCTAATATTTATCGAGACGTCGTTATGGGTTTTGAAAATATAGTACCTAGATATTAAATTTTATTACGTTTTATTATTCTATTTTTATTTTAAACTCGCTTTTGCCCGCGACATCGTCCCTGTAATTTTAGTGAAAATGTAAATAATATTTACTTATTTGCTCCAAAGCTAGTCGAGCTAGTGTCGATTCTAGTAATTAGATACGCAATTTTATTTTAAAGAAATGAGACAATGAGACAATAATAATGTACTTTAGTGCCATCTCAGATTCAATCAAGTCATAATTTTCAATATTTTAATAGTTATTCTGCTATTCGGGTTAAAGAGAAATCTAACAAATCAGTGAATATCAAAATCTGCCCAATGGTTCTTGAGTTATAAATGGTGTAACTAACCCTATTTTTATATCCTTATATAGATAATTGGTACTTATAGCGGAATTTTACAGAAGAAATTTAAAAAATTAAAAAAATTTATCATTCATTTTCATTTCATCAATTTCGGTATTAATTAATTCCAGGCAATATCTATTAATGACGAGGCACAACATTTGCGGGAACTGCTAATATTATCAATGTTTTTTAATAATTATTATTACAATATAATTTGAAATCTTATATAAACTGTTTGTAATATTTCTCAAGCTCCTATTATTGTTTCAGAAATAAAATATTTAAATATTGTTTATGTTCCGGTTAGAAATTGAACAACTCATTTATCAAAAGACAATAAGATACATGATACCTAACAACACGGGAACGCCAGGCTGCCAGGAATATCGCGAATATCACTGAGACACATTTTATGCAAAACGAGCGAAAATCTCATACATACAGATAGCGGGTCATGCTAATATAGTCATTATGTCCGCAGAAGGGACGCGCGTACTGCTTACTGCTTACAATTCGCTTTTTCGAAGAGTACCACACGCACCGCATTAATCCGGTCATTACACATTTAATATAAAACATCTAAACACTCACCTATCATACGAGTATGTAATATTAAGCCAAATATTCCAAATCTGAAACAAACAAATTAAAAATTAATTTGGTTTGGGTTTTAAAGTTATCGTAAGCAATACTAAATGCTCTACAACTATTTATTTCAATTTATAACTTGTTGTGTTACTAATTTTTTATTTTTATTTTTCGCCTAATCGTCATTTGTTGAACATGATTAACACAACACGTTATAAGATGGAACTAAATTATTTATTTCTTTAAAATATATCTGTATATGACTAAAATATTATTTGCCCCAATGTATATCCATATTAATGTAACCATATTTCATTATCTCATTCATATGGAAATCTCAAACAATTAGTCAAAATTCCTCGTGGTGGTTTGCGCGACTTTGCAAACGCCGCCAAAACCTCTGGCGCCGTCAAGATGAAAAATTCCAAACATTACGAATTCTACATATTCCATATTATTTAGATAAAATACAATTTTCTAATTAAATTACGCATTTTATAAATCCAGATAAACTGATACAAAACAAATGTGTAAACTGTAAATGAATGCCGGTCGACTCTTGAACCAACCCCTCGGTTAGCAAGGTTTAAAGCTTTAAAGGACCACGGCGAACACAATGAGAAGGGTGTGACACGCGTTCGATTTAAATGCGCACCAAACTCTGATTCCGTCGAAAAACTAATCCGATTAGCGCCTTCACGAACGAGGCATTTATCATTCGATTAAATAATCTTACTAAGCAGATTTTTTTCATAAACATACCTATATTGCGAAAAAAATTATAAAAAGTGCACGGAAAACAATGGAAACAATTGCGAAATGATCAGTAAATCATATCGCTGCGTGCACGACAACTTTATGGCGTTATTCGTTACGATGCGGAGTGATACGAAGAAGAAAACTATTGATATATCTGCGCGCGCGGATGATTGATACATCTTCGCCTTCGGTGATAATTCTTTTTTATCGTCATCTAAAACAATCGGCGAGCGTTTATTTTTTATGTGTTTTTCTACTTAGAAAAATTGATCGCAGGAAAGTTTTACTTAATAAATTTAACAAATTCTGAGAGTTGCAGAGTGTTAAAGATTTAATTTTTTGATTAGCAAGTATTATACTGATTTAATAAATAGATTATGTTAAATGATACGCGTTGAAAATGATAGACGTTTTATGAAAATGTACGAGCAAATTATATTTCTTTACTGGTGGCTCGTACAGAGCCGGATTTAAATTTCAACTTCTTCAAATGTCAACAAAAACTTAGTTTTTATGATTAAAATTTGTTTCTAAACACATTTAATTAATTTATCAAGCAATTAAAATCGATTAAATTAATTTCCTACTTAAATATTAATAAATATTGAGAAAAATAGTTTTACAGACGTATTTTTTTTGATGTAGCAAAATTTTTACCAAAATATAAAAAATTATAAGCTAAATTTTAAAAAAATCCAAAAACTGAAAATAATACATTTTTTCTTTTTGTTTATTAATACGAGTACATCCCTGTATTAATGTGCTGCCACTCTTTCACTGCACATATTTAATAAGCGCGAATGTGTTTGCCCGATTTGCGACGCGTATTTAGTGAGTTTAGCGACGATTTATTGACCCTAAACCCAACGCTCCATAACATAACTACCATATCAACTTATCCAGACCATCCCGATGGAACCCATCAACCCAGGAAGCAAAATAGAAAAAAATCTATTTAGAGTGGCCCCGGTCGCAATATGAATCTATTTGTTGCCATGTGGCGTGAAGTGAGTAAATGTAACAAGCTCCTACTCGAGGGTGACTTCTATTAACTTGATTAAAATGGTCGTATGCAACCAAGTGTACAAATATTTATCGATATTGTTTAAAAAAAAGTAAAAGTTTTGCATCTTGTTGGTGTTTACGACATCCGGCGACGTCGCAGACATATTGTCTTGGCGATTCGTGCCGAATACAGAATGAGGATGCGATTTTTGCTTTCTGTTTGTGGAAACATTACGGGATATATGGATATGATATTGGATGAATTATGTGCGGGGCGCAATATGGCCGGCCGTATGCAACCGGGGACGATGACGCCGCCACCGCCGACCGTCGAGGACGACTCTCCAAAATCCACGACTTCCAGCCATGTCCGCGAAGACTCGACGAGTCGACGAGTCGTGAATGCGGTCGGGATCCATTTGCGAGATTAAATTTGTGATTCATTGTAGCGGAATGGAGAGTTGTCACATATGTCGGCTCGGTCGCCGGCTAAGTGGATAGTTACGTTATGTAGGGAATATTTTAAAAAGCAAAAAGCGTCCGCAGCGCCAAGCCAAAAATTTACAACTTGCTTGTTTCCCACTGGTTTTTACAGCATGCGAAAACACTCGCGTTTGGGGTTTATCCAGCGCGCGCGAAAAGGTTTGATTTACGTGAGCGTAGGAAAAAATGATATTTCACACATTCTTTCACTGCT